AGGTAGCTGGTCTGTGCAGGGAGCTGGTTTTTAAATTGGCTCACAGCCTCACTCCCGGAGAGCCCCTTGCCACTCCACACTGCAGCTTCTCTATCAGTGGAAGCAGCATGGCGTGGCAGGAGGGAGCCAGTTACCCAAATACTCAATTACACAATATTTAACATCCCTAGTATTCAATCAGTGGTTACTGCTATAGCAAACTAACCACACTAAACCACGGCCAGCATGTTGAGATACCATGGCTTTAGACACTGCAGTAGGTAATGTCTGTGCTTAGATATAGATTATTAGAGGTAAACAATGTAAACCACCAGTCTGTCTATGCTGTATTCTGATAATTCAGAGATCAAAAGGAAATCTTAACATTTAAATGAACTGTAGTTATGTTACTGGATTCAGCTATCTTAGGAGTATATAGCAAGTCACCTATGAATGCTAGAGAACAGGCCTTATGTTAATCCATGGTAGCTAATTACCAATGATTCTTAGGAAACAGGTCTACTTCACAGCCTGGAAGACTACCTCTTGATTACTTAAGGACTCTGGGCAGCAGTGAATGGAGGGGAGGGAGACGGGGAGGCTGCCGTGGAACTGCCTCTGTCCACAGCGGGCCTGGGCTCATCACACACAAAGGCTACTCCATGGATGCCAGTGTAGCCTCTGTTCATGAGAAGCTCAGGCCCTCTGCAGACAGGGGCTGCTGCTGCCTCCGTATCAGAAGCAGCAACACAAAGTGGCAGGCAGGAGCCGGTCTGCGTGAGGAGCTAGTTTTTAAACAGGCTCCCCTGGTGGATGAGCTCCTGACTACCATCCTGCGTTGCTGCCTCCGATAGAGATGCTGCAGCATGGGGATGGCAGGGGGCTCCCAGAGAGTGGGGCCAGGAACTCACTGGGTGCTGGCCCCACCTCCAGGGACTATCAAATAGTCATATAAACGCTAAATTTTGATGTGGTTACATGACTATTCCATTACACACCAACATCCCTAAACTAAGTACTAGATTATCCACAATTTTGGAGGTTGTCAGTCCCATTCTTTACAGTTTGCGCTAATTGCGTAGCCTCAGTGTGGCTGCCCCGGGACCCTGGTCACAATGATAATCTAATGCCAGTTAAAAACCTACTATAAAGGGAACTGCATGTAATACGGGAAGCCAGTTCTCAATGGTGGGCCATGGTATACTTCCAGGAAGTCCTCAGTCTGAAAATGGTGACTATTCCTGAAAGTTCTGTGAATTCTAGAACCTTAAGGGTTTCTAGAAGCTTTTCGGCAAAGCAATCTAAAAAAGCTTCTCTCCACAAGTATGAACAGATGCTAGAGCTTAATTTTGGTTTGTACCAATCTGATCAAATTTGCAAATGGTGTCAGAAGTAGACAGAGCATACACAGGAGGGCAGCATCAGAACGCAAAATGACTTGAAGTAGTCTGGGTTTGGAGGAAACAAGAGGAGAGCTTCAATCATGCAGTCTACAGCAAGTGAAAGAAAAGAAAATTTATGAGACACAAAAGCCAAGGAAGCACGAGAGAACCAAGGAAAGTTCTAACCTGAAATGATCTACAATAAGAGAATTGGAAACTACAGAGTTAAGTAATTTATTCTAAATTAGACACTAAATAAGCCTAAATACTCTAGAATGAAGCGACTGATACAGAAGTTTCTCTTTTTAAAGTGAGCTTGGGATCAATTTTTGGAATGTTAATGTGCTTATTAGGATACAAAAAGTACCTTAATGAAACATTTCTCCTGATGTGCGCACATAAAACAGATGGATTTTGGCACACCGCTAATCTCACTAATAATGTAAGTTTTCTGAATTACAAATATTCAATACTTTAGATTCGAAATTTGATATCTAGAGACCATGTGTAAGTTTAAGAGAATATTTGAGTCAAATATTGTACACCAAGAAAATGGTACTTACGCCTTTTTAATGTCTTCTGGTGAGGCATGTTTATGCACTCCTAGAACCTCATAATAATCCACCATGTTTTAACAGTCGTCTTGTTAATAGCAAATCCTGCAATTACAAGAACCTTTTACCAAATGGGTACAGTACTACAACTCTAACATTCCATCTTGACCATTGCAAGATTTAACAGATTTTTTTATTAAATCCAAACATTTCCTGTAAATGGTAGTACAAGGAATAGGTTGCTCATATGATGAAGTTATACATAGGAAGAAATTGCAGCAGAAAAAGCTGTACTGAGGCAATTTGGCTTTCTATTCTCCAGTTGTGCCATTTAGGCACATATCTACACAGCCAGAGAGAGGAGTATTGACAGTACATAAAAGTGGATGCTAATATTTTCTTAGACACAAACATTTGTCAAGATCTACTGCTACTGTGGTCACTTTTCCCAGTTGTAAATCTATAGTCACAGGTCATTAAGACTGGCTACGCTGCAGTAGAATACCCCTATGCAGTTTATCTTATGATCAATATTAGATGTATAGTAGCCAAATTAGGCATTTTATCGGATGTAATTTTAGTGAACAAATTTTGACTTACTGGCTTAAAGCAACAGTCTTGTCCAGTTTTTTTAAGAAGTCAATACTGATGTTTTGGTCACTATTAAGAGACAGAAATACAACAGTAGGAGTTCACTGAGTCCCCACTTAAGCTGAATGGTCTTGAGTACAAGAGTCTTTCTGGAATACTACTAGAGACTTTACCTCCTTGCTGTATTCTGTAAATAATTACCCTTCTTTTCAACATTAGGCTACTCATGCTTCTTGATCCACTGTAAGATTTCAAGTAACCTCTGAACCCAATTGTTCTAGTGGGTTTTTTTTGGTTTTTTTAAAGTTTTATATCCTGAGTTACAATTTCCATGGAACCGTAAGCCAACATTTAAGAAGCCATGAAATAAAGTTCTAACAGGGTGTGGGGTACCACATTCAATGTCTGCATTGCTCTTGGGGGAGTAGGTCAGTTATCTCAGCTCTGTGCCTTGACAAGGCAAAGAGACCAGGAGATCTAGTCCAGCAGGCCAGGGTGGGGAAGAGACCCAAAGAACAAGACAACAAATGTCAGTGGCTTTATCAGCACTGTACCCTTCCAGAGTCCAGCAGTCTAAAAACCAGCAAAGAGTTACAATTTACACCCATACATACAACTGCAATGTGGCTCTGTGGACCTGGTAACAGTCGTTAGGTATCTGCATGCATTCCAGCTACGTTCACTGTGCTACATATAACAGTACTGAATGGCGGAGAGATGAGTTGAAGTAGATTGGGGCAACTGAGACAGTGATAGATGAGCCATCTTTGAATCGCATCCCTCCCTATCCTGTGCTGAAGTATGAAGAAATTGGAAGAGGATAGAAGAGGCTGTTAAAATATACAAGTGTAAAATTCGGTCAGAGCAGGCTCAGTGTCTGAATAAGGCAAGTGCAGGTACTGTCTATTACAGTAAAAGGGATAAAGTGTATGTGAGATAAGCATATTGGGGGTATCGCTCAAAGATGACAGAGGCTGTGTGGATGCTTACCTTACCTCTATTTCCTGTTCGTATGATGTTTTTGTTTCCCTGAACTCTATGCTCTGGAAGGCCACGAGCTATCACCAAGTAACCTTAATTGCACTAATGAAGTTTTGCCATTTAATTTCCTATTTTTTTGAAGAAACAGGAAGAGAAATGTTTGTTGGTAGCAGTTAATGGTCATTTAAGCAGGTGTAATTCTCATCTATATATTTGCAGCAGATATACTTTTAGGGTAGTAGTAACAAAGAGATTTAGCTTTAGTATAGTGCTTTTCACTATACTAAAGATCTGAAAGAACTTTACATAATATCCATTTTGCAGGTGTGAATCTGAGGCACAGATGTAGAAGTCACTTAGGTATGGTCATTCAGCAGGCCAGAGGCAGAGCAAGGACTAGTCAGTCCAGTGGTCTTTCCATTGGGACACAGTGCTATGCAATTCCTCAGGCTATGTCTACACTACATATCTTAAGCAGCACAACTACAAGGCTTTCCATTTAGCCATTCTGACAGGAAGAGAGCTCTCCTGCCAACATTATTACCCCAATTATCAGTATTAGGCTCTCCTGCTAACATTTATCCTGAAAACATGGCATGGTCCACAATGGCACTTATCTGTGAAACCCATCAGTCAAATGTTTTCCCATACCCGACAAAGTTTTACCAACAAAAGTACATAGGAGAATGGCTATGCTTAACAACTACACATTGTGAGTATTTCTAACAGACTCAGTGAAAAGTCTCATCCATGGTATATGCCCCAATACTCTGTTTTATTACAAGGCTGTTAAATAGTGAGAGGATTGGTGTCTCTCCTTTCCCGCCATTGCCTGCAACAGAAGCACCCTCCATATCCAAGCAACCCTTCTGATATCCCCTCCCTTTCCAAACTGATTAAGCCATTAATTGACACAACAGAAGCTACTGACACTCACAAGTTGCTCCTTGCTGTCTGACGCATAGCAATGCTTGGAAGGTTTAGATTTTTATTGATAAGTATCAAACATTGGATTTTACCTCACACAGTCAAAAAGTACTTCCACTGGTAATAGAAATTTACTGACAGAAAAAGAAACAGACCTGGAGTTATCAGAACTTCAGTTATGGATTTTTACTCAAGAACTGCTCAACTCTTGTCAATGCATCTTTCCCCAACCCAGTGCTGAAGAGATTCTGATATGCCAAGTAAGCTCCTCAACCACTATCATCAGTGTGACCCTGGCGCATTTTCCATGCCTGTTCCAAGATGCCCACCCAGTGGGATGGGGCTTTTCCAGAGTCTAGTTTACTGGAGGTGAGATGGAGGGAGGATCAGAAACCGACAGATGATCTGATACAAACTACAAACACAGGGAATCGGAGAAGAACTCAGATACCCCAAGACAGACAAGATATCCCCACTCCTAAATCTGACTCACATGAAGGGGAATTGGAGGCAGATAAATGGACATAAATGGGTAGGGCCAACAAAATGCTGGCACATGGGGGAGGACAGGTCTCAGGCACCCCAACTGAAGCAAAGTCCTCTTTGTCCCCTACTGAGGGCTGGGACCTAAAAAGGGACTCTCACCATAGAGGGGTTTAGATCTGGAACATGAAGGCACACAATCCATTTTCCCCTACTGCTGTCTGTCCAGAACAAGATGTTTGGCGCACATACAGGTATGTAAATTTACTGACATGGTTAATCCCTACTGTCTTCTGATTTACTCATTTACTTGCCATTAAATATGCCCTTACATATTTCTAGCACTGGTGGCTACATTTTTTTCAATAAAACATTTAGTGGCATAGAATATATCAAATCACAATGAAGTTGTTTCTTTTAGGGATTAGGTTAAACTGAGTACATTAATTTTATGAATTTTCATATACAGCAGTAATTTTAGACACTGGTGCCTAAGATTTGACTCCTAAATTCATATTCAGTACAGATGAGCTAGCCAACCAATTCTGTGAAAGTGAATTATTTTCTTTCCAAAAAGAAAAGGCCACAATTTAAAAAAAAAAAAAAAAAAGACATTTTATAACAATGTCAATACAGCTTACAACAGGGATGGGCAATAATTTTCAGAGTGGGGCCACTTGATGAATTTTGGTACATGGTCACAGGCCAGCTCCACTCGTGGAAGGGGCAAGACCTGGAGCAGAAGGGGCGGGACAGGGGACTAGTCTCCCCATAGAGTTGTTGGGGCAGAGGCTTTGAATTAAAAACACAGCAAAGAGCTCGTGGCACCCAGCTGCTACAGCATTGCCTGGCAGACACCTGGGGTTGCTACAGCTATTTAAAAAGCTCATGGCTCCGGCTGGGGTAGCACTGCACCCGAGAACCAGGACTCATCCTGCTGCCTGTGCCACTGCCTGGAAACCCGGTGACATGGGTGGCAGGATATAAATAGAAAGTAGGCAGATGAAGTCCTCGGGATGGATCAAAGTGTTGGGTGGGCCCAATCCAGTCCCCGGGCCACATCTTGCCCAGACCTGGTTTAGAAAATGAAGTCAACTATCCTGATGTTTTCTGAAAATAAGTTACTTTATTCAGCTAAAATTGTAATATCCTATCCTAATTTGCAATCAGTTGTTTACCCCACAAAACTACTTTTTAGCATATCAATAGCTGACAAGATTTTGCTCAGTTCTAATGTTTAGAGAACTTTAGTGATTTTGAATCACAAGTCCCACTGACTTCAGCCTGCAAAACTTAGGTGTATAACAATCAAAACAAATAGGTTTTCTTGACTTGTGGAAATTTAAGATATTGGAAGGTGGTAATGTTGGCAAATAAAAAACAGGCTTTTTACCTAACCATTTTGAGTTTAGGTAGTTACTATTCTCATAGTAACAAGTTAAGTCCTTGGCCTCTTTATGGCAAATAAGAAAAGAATTTTAGTGCTGAGCTTAGGATAAAGTCTTAAACTTGAAGTTATACTAGCAATTAGAACATTAATCAAACAAATGTACAAGACACCCACTTTACCAGTTTAACATTAAAAATATGTAAAATGGCTACCAAAAAACCCACTAAAGAAAATCACAAATGACTCCAACACATCCTCAACCAGCATGGAATAGATTAGAAGATTTTGTACTGGCTCAATTATTGATGCCTACATAAGTAAAATTGTGGCCAAAGGTTATTTGTTCATAATAGGAACTCAGATATGACTATGTCTAACAAGATATGAAGCTACTTGGGAAGGCCTTGCTGCTCATGAGTTTCCAGTATGTTACATAAGTTGATTCAAATAGAAACAGACAAAAGTGACTTAGCATAATTCGCCAAGAACAATGTTTCTCAACTTTTGATAACAGGGACTGGCTTGCTGCCTTCCTAAACTGTATCGTGAAGATCTCTGGAACCAACACTAGTCCACAGACCAGTTAAATACTGCTGTAGTACACAACATTAAAAGCATAATGTTCCAAGATCATGACAACTAGGAACTTTTCTATGAAGACAAGTGATTTTCACTAACAAAAGCTATAAGATGAAAGCCAAACATCTGCATAACCCATCAACAATGGGACAGCCTACATAAGGAAGATCTGTTGTGCAAGCCACCCTGCAAGTTAAAGCA